TACGCGATATTTTCTGGTTCCTAGCCCACGGTGCCCAACGTGACATTCGGCGCGAGAAAACCCGTCATGAAGCGCCAGAAATTAAAGCCACTAAAGTAACTAGCTGCCTCTTATTGGAGCATTTCAATAAAGAAGTGACACTTGGAATGCACTCATTTCTTGAAGCAGTGACTGTAAACACGGGACACTGGTTTAATTTTTCTAAAAAGTTCAAGTTTCATTTTTCAAAAAGTAGGGATATTAATTTGTGTTGGAAAACGTTTTTACTGCTAAATTCAGATTTTTAATTCGTTAGCTCATTCCACGAAATCTGTCATCGACCACATACATGTATTTTATGCTTATCATAATTTCAATACAGTTAAAAATGCTCGAAAGTGATGAGCTATTGAGGCCTCAAATATCGATTGTGTGTCGAATTATACTCTAAAAGATTAAATGTGGGTACAGCTAAAATGTGCATATTTTATTTAAAATCACATAGAATGCAACCTAATCTGCTGTTTTGAGCAAAAGGAAAAATTTTCGAATCGTGTTCGCAGCTTGTGAGCACGATTTACTGTTAGCAATCGAAATTTTTTCTTGTTTGTTTTCAGATTTTGATGATGACGTCCAGAATTTAGTAGATTGATGAATTTTTAATTCCTCTGTGGCTTTAAGAAACCTTTCACGAATTCGTCGGTGCAACGGATCGTTGTTATTCTGAAAATCCAACTGAAGATAACGTCAACTTGATTTATCACTGAAAATTTTGCATCGTATTATAACACATCAGAAATTTCTCCAATGAAGAAACAGCTGACCCAGAAAGGTTTGCATATTAGCCATTGGAAAAATTGTTTACTCTGCTAACTTACAAAAATAGATTTTCAAACACACATATTGTTACAATGGGACTCTGGAGCCTACAACTGATTTACACTGATGTTAGGTTAAAATAAAATTTTTACTTAGTTAGGCATGATTTCGGTTTTGGAATTCGAAAAACCATAGAAGTTTTTGCCAAGTGATTCATCAGCGTTTGTCTCAAAAGTTTTTCGGCCTCTTCGTCCACAATGAGGCCTCTATCTCGCATTTTCTGCTTGATGTAGTCGTTGTTGTGGTTGTTAACGTGATAGTGACCGGGTTGACCTTCCACAGCCCACGTCAGAATTATTCCTGAAAAAATCAGATAGATTATTCTCTCTTATAACAAATAGCCTTTTCATAATCGACTATATTTTGAGCGTATTTTATACAAATCACTCTTTACTCAATATCTTTTGCATTGCACAGAAAAATATCACTTCCTTGCACAGCAAAATCATGCAGCATGAAGAAGTTTTACTTCTTGAAGAAAAAGCTCTCCATGAGCCAATTTGCAATGTTTCTTCTAAATTAAAAATAAAATACTTGCATATGACGGCTATTTAATTACCTGCACAGGCATGCCGCACGAGGTTATCCAGGAAATGGCCTTCATGTTTAGGATCGATGTGCTCCCCCACTTCAATGCTCATCACCCAGTCCCACTTCCTGCCGAGCCAGAGGCCCTCCTCGCTGAGGTCGGCGTGTGCGATGAAACCGCCGCTCACCTCCTCGATGGCGAAGCCCCCGTCATATCCTTCAGAGAAGAAAATAGCTCGGCCACTAGAATTAACAATCTTATTTATCATGTAATTTCTTACCACCTCATACTAGTGGGAAATAATGAATTTAATCGTTTTAAGATACGCTGCAATAAAACAGCTAGAAAATTAATATATACTGACCATGCCATGAATATACAATTTGAGGCTTCTTTTGAATGTCATGAAAATCGTTATTTATGTCGGTGATGTATTTTTGTTTTTGTTGTTTATCGTTCAGTCGATATTCAGCTTGACTTTTACGCAGAAAACACATGCCGTACTTGCCGAGACCGGCACCGAAGTCAACAATCGAGGAGTTGCCCACCAACACTTCCACAAAATAACACATCTGAAACGAATGAAATACACAACGATAGCCTTAATTGGTTTCTTTCAACACAGATAAGTTTCATTTCTTCTTCTTATGGAATCTATCGCTCTAATCTTCAAAATATTTAAATTCATCGAACCGACTACCTACTATATAAAGAAGGAAGCACATGTAAAGATGGAATGTCAGGGCCGGGATATTTTTGAAGCTTAATTTTGCTTTAATTCGAAGACTCTCACTTCAGGGTCAAAATAAGCATTGCCGCCCGTGTAGATTCTGTCAGCAGTGACGCAAAATCCACCGTTGCTCATTACATCTTTGGTAGCACACCACAGCCGCTCAAGGGCGTTCGAAATGCTTGCTAGCTGTCGTTCGAGTTCGTCAATCTATAGGGATACATGCACAAAAATTATTGAGGTGATCGAATATTAATGCTCTACACCAGTAATTAAATGGACTTGGTTGAAGCCTCAATGGATCTCTGTAGATTTAATACATACAGTTATTAACGAACATTTATTTATTCCTTGTACGAGAAAGTAATGATTGAAAAGTGTAGTGTGGAAAAGATCTCGTAGTTTAGGTATGTCGACAAGGAGCTGAAAATTTCTAAGCATGTTGAAACGCAAGCTAAGGAATCCAACAAACTTCTTGGATTAATCAGACGCTTCCCAGTTCCCAGATGCAGAAGCGATGAAGCAGTTGTTTGTTGCGGTCGTGCGCCCGAATCTTGAGTTTGGAAACGTTGTGTGGTCACCGAGATTTGAATAGGACAAAAATTCAATACAGAATGTTCAAAGACGTGCAACAAGGATAATTCCAGGCTTGAAGGGCAAGTCTTTCAGCGCTGACATCACTGTGTTATGTTATGTATTGCTGTGAAATAAATTTCAGATCCCACCATTGAAAGCTTGATTGGACAGAATACTAATGTTTAAAAGCCTTCTGTGATTTCATAGACGAATTTTAGATAAAATCGACATCTTCATACTTCTTTTTAAAATTTCCTCAGCTGGAGCAGGCAAAGCTTGTTAAAATTAAGGGTGTAAAATCTTGTTTCCTAAACGTTCGTACTAATTTTAAACTTTAAAGCAATTGGGTTTTAATAGCCTGCTACCAGCAATATTGGCCACAGAGCTTTTTAATTGTCTTGTCGTAATAACCCAGAAAAAATACAAGGAGCGCCTAGTGTAGAAACTTTGCTACACGAATTAAAAAGCTTGAACCATGTTGAGAAGCGCTCACAGATAAGGAGTAAAAGTATCAGTCTCGACGAGAAAAAAATCACTTTTAAATCATCTGCTAAGCAGTTAATCTCCATTATCTGTGTTTTTCTGCTTACCATAGGCGGTGAAATATTGCTTCATCGTTCTGTATGCAATTGTTTGCTTCAGCTGAAGAACATGAAAATTTGCAGGATGTAGAACATGAAAATTTACAGGAGTAGCTTTGCAGGATGAGAATAACTTACTTTGTTTTGACAAGAATTCCAGGAGTTTGAGAGATCACTGTTCTTTACACTCAAATTTTGTTGCTTCCTTGGTGAAAATTCATGATTTTCGACGTGTCCTGTTAAAAAAATATAAGAATGAAATGAGTTCTTTCTATATATGTGAATTGTCGTGAACATTTTCGTTCAAATAACTCTAAAATGCAAGTTAAAAAGCATTATTTGTATTTTAGCAAAGTTAAATTAACAGTTCAATCGGTTAAAAAACGTCCTATTTCCTTCCAATAAATCTATTAAACATGATTCTCGTATTAGTCGTAAGATATAGTATAAGCTTGTATATAAGATATGTATATTATGCATAATATTTTAAATATTACCAAAAATATGTATATTCAATTTTTTGCAAATAAAATTGGCAGAAAAAGTCGATTTTTTTCATGTAAAGTGAGAGTAATCCCTCTATCTGCTCATGTATTTGGAAACCTTGAACTGCGTAGCTTTCTGGAGAATGAAGATTTCCTGCGTGACTCATCAACACCGTCAGAACCAGAGCAGCAGAAGTGATCACCACTAGCTTTAAGATTAAGTTCTCTAGCTTACTTCGTAATGACATATTTCTGAATTTCTTTCCTGAGAGATAACAAATTAAGTAAAAAATGTACAATAAATTGTTATAAACATGCAAGTAGCTCCTTAAACGTAATAAGACCATGAAACTTATTTGAGCCCAATTTACAAGGCGCGACAAAGTCAATCCGATCGTTTTCGTTGTGTTTGTAAAACTTATGAACTTGGTGAAGTAACTCACATAGGATCGCGAAACTTCAATTGACGAAATTGCTGATCTCATTTCTCGTGTTTGCTTGAAGTTTTTAGAACAGAGCGTGGTTTGTAAAAGTTTTTTGCTAAGCATTTGTAGAGAATTTTACTACTAAAATTTCAACGGTAATAGAAAATATTTATGTTCCGTAAAAAATTACGACTATATACTCAAGACAATTATTGGGAAAAATAAGTAAAATAATTATGATAAGTGGAAGGAATTATAGTTGAACACACCGTTAGCGATAAAGAATGGTTGATTACGCATATACATGAAATTAAAGAACAAAGAAGATGCCAAAGATATTCACCATATCTTTAAACAGCAAAACGTTTCAGATTCTAGCTCCATCGTCAGTTCGCAAACCTAGAAAGTAAATGCAATCATTTTATAATCCAAAATTCAAAGTCAGACATTAAAACATAATATTGACAAATGAAAAGCTAAATATCAAAAGGGAACAGAAAACTGGCCTATCCGCTAACAATCTCAAAGAAATGGGAACAGAGTGCGGAATTTAAGCATGGCTTCCGTTTGAAAATGTAAAGAGATTATAAAATTCGGCAGTCAGAAAGATCGGTAGTAGAAGCTAAAACGCCGCACTCTTCGGAAGTTCAATGACCTCTATAGAGGAGAAATCTGCCTACCGCACTCTACCAATGGCTTCATCAACCTATCCTCTCAAACTTTGAGCAAGGAGCAAGCAGAACTCCTAAACCTTGGACTGGATTGTCATACGACATCCAAATTCAGTATGACGAAAAAACGAATTGAGCTCGAGCTATTGTACGAACCCTACTGAAACTTAAGGAAAATAAAAGAATGGGTATAAGCCCAAACTTGAAAGGTCTATTGCGAGCTGAAGCTACCAAAAAACGAGGCTCATCGACATCAACTGTCTTAACTCCTGCTCTACGGCAAGCAGCTAAACAACTCCGAGACAACGACCAAATTGTGGGGGTTCCATTAGATACTGCTTCATTGTTGGTTCGGTTTTCTCTCGATCGGTAATTTGATATTTCAGTGTCAACTGTTCTATTTGAAAACCCATTATTCACTAGAATTTGTTTACACGATCTGAGTTCGGTTTTCAAATCCCTCTCGGATGTGCAGGTCTTGAATGCTCTTTGTAGAGAGCGCGCACTGTGTTGGTTTTATAGCGCTGCGGGCATTCACTTTTTTCGTTAAGCACTTTCCCGACATCGGTAGGTTTTCGGTAAACATTAGTGACAAAAGAATTATCTTCAATTCGCACTAATATATCTAGGAATGGTAATTTGTGATTTTGTCCAATTTCATGGGTAAAAGTCAAGGCTGATTCATGTTCCAAAGCTCTTCGCAGTTCGATCAAGTGCTCTTCGTCTCGAATGACAACAAAAATGTCATCTACGTATCTGCAGTAAAGCTCAGGCTTGATCTGTGCATTGAGCAACACTTGATTTTCCAGTTCACACATGTAGAATTCTGCGAAAGTTGGACCTAGAGGGCATCCCATGGCTACGCCGTTAATTTGTCGGTAAATGTTGTTATCAGGAGTCCGGAAGGGAGATTCTGAAGTACAGAGGCGAAGAAGGTCAATTAAGATCTTTTTTGGTATAGATGGGGCTGGCAGGGTTTCGTGCGAATACACATGCTTCATGATGTGTCCTGCGCATGTGAAGCGCAGGACACATCATGATTTTAATTTTAAGTTTATATTTTGTTGTATCCACATTATTTATTTTATTGTATCCACTATACCATTCATATGTACTTCAGTCATTTCAAATTCAATTTCAAATGTTGTAAAACCATCTCCAGCTTGATAATGAAAATTGTATTTTCGAAACGTTGCAATCTATTAAAATGTCATTCGGAAACCTGCTTTTCGATCTCCCGGCTCCAGCTAGAAATTTGGTTCGACTCATAGAAAAGACGAACAAGAAGATTGTAAATAAAAAGCATGCTCTGGTCTTCAATCAAACTTGCATAAAAGAAAAGCTTCTGCCGAACTACACCAATTTTCGCACTCATGACCCAGCAGCAAGAGATGAAGCAATTACTGTGAGATACAGAGAAGAATTAATTCTACGGCAAATTAAAATTAATAGCAGCGAGCTCGAAAATCTAAAGCTTGAAAACTCCGAAAATATTCATCGTCTACCCCAATACATTCCTAGCCCTCAACTTCGTATCAAGATTACCGAAGAATTGAGCAAGCTTCACGATACCTACGACAACTGTGTGAAACTCCGCACTCTTCGGAAGCTCAATGGCCTCTATAGAGGAGAAATTTGCCTACCGCACTCTACCAATGGCTTCATCAACCTATCCTCTCAAACTTTGAGCAAGGAGCAAGAAGAACTCCTAAACCTTGGACTGAATTGTCATACGACTTCCAAATTCAGTATGACGAAAAAACAAATTGAACTCGAACTATTGTACGAATCCCTACTGAAACTTAAGGAAGATAAAAGAATTGATATAAGCCCAAACTTGAAAGATCTATTGCGAGCTGAAGCTACCAAAAAACGAGGTTCATCGACATCAGCTGTCTTAACTCCGGCTCTACGGCAAGCAGCTAAACAACTCCGAGACAACGACCAAATCGTTATACGAAAAGCGGATAAAAGTAATATTTTCGTAATTATGGATAAAACGGATTATATCTCAAAAATCAATGCAATTATATCGGACGAGTCCAAATTCTGTCGTGTCGCAAGAGATCCAACAGAACAGCTTCAGAGGAGAGCTAATAAATTGATCGACACAGCAAACTCTGCAGTTGGATCTATAAAACTTACCCGGATTGTTGGGAGCTACTCTCCAGGCTACCTCTATGGAAACGTCAAAACTCACAAAGAAGACAACCCACTAAGGCCTATAATTTCGCAAGTAACTTCTCCCGTATACAAGACCTCTAAAGAACTCGACGCTATAAATAAACCATATATCCCTAAGAAATACTCTCTGAAATCTAGAAATGACTTCTTGGAAATTCTTCATGCCTCGCACCCTTCTGGCCTACTAGCTTCACTGGATGTTACTAGTTTGTTCACGAATGTACCAACCGAAGAAACGTTAGAAATTATCATGAAGCATGTGTATTCGCACGAAACCCTGCCAGCCCCATCTATACCAAAAAAGATCTTAATTGACCTTCTTCGCCTCTGTACATCAGAATCTCCCTTCCGGACTCCTGATAACAAAATTTACCGACAAATTAACGGCGTAGCCATGGGATGCCCTCTAGGTCCAACTTTTGCAGAATTCTACATGTGTGAACTGGAAAATCAAGTGTTGCTCAATGCACAGATCAAGCCTGAGCTTTACTGCAGATACGTAGATGACATTTTTGTTGTCATTNTGACGATAGCTGAGGCCCTCATTATCAAGAGCGAGTCTCCGGCTATCAACCTCCAAACTACTGGATTCGTCCGGACGCTGAAATTATTTTCAGAGTAATTTTAAGTTTATATTTTGTTGTATCCACATTATTTATTTTATTGTATCCACTATACCATTCATATGTACTTCAGTCATTTCAAATTCAATTTCAAATGTTGTAAAACCATCTCCAGCTTGATAATGAAAATTGTATTTTCGAAACGTTGCAAACTATTAAAATGTCATTCGGAAACCTGCTTTTCGATCTCCCGACGCCAGCAAGAAATTTGGTTCGACTCATTGAAAAAACGAACAAGAAGATTGTTAATAAAAAGCATGCTCTGGTCTTCAATCAAACTTGCATAAGAGAAAAGCTTCTGCCTAACTACACCAATATTCGGACTCATGACCCGGCAGCAAGAGACGAAGCAATTACTGTGAGATACAGAGAAGAATTAATTCTGCGGCAAGTTGAAATTAATAGCAGGGAGCTCGAAAATCTAAAGCTTGAAAACTCTGAAAATTTTCATCGTCTACCTCAATACATTCCAAGCCCAATGGTGACGCTCAAGATATTGGACAAGGAAATAGAGGCGACAGTCGATACAGGCTGCACCAACACAATCATGCCTTTGGCAATGGTCCGGCACTTGAACTTGGAAAAGCTGTCCCTGCCTTTTTTAAGGACCAACCGATCACGTTTCGCTGCAGTGTGACGCAGTCCGATGAAAAGTTCATATTACTAGGAGCGATTTCCTGTTAATTTACAACTTTTCGATCAATATCATCGCTGGAACATTGAATTTTACGTACGAAAGGATCCCCATTTAAGGAAATGATTGATTGAAAACGGACAGGTGGAGGTGGTAGTGGCACTGATACGCCATATGCAAGTAAATAATCGTCTCATCAATACAATTTTTGATACTGGTTGTACAGACTCTTGTATGTCAGTCGAAGCGATGGACCGATGCGGTTTGAGATAAATTCTTCTCCGCAGCCCCAAACCGTATCCAACTGTTCGAGGCATCGATGGGATTGAGCAGAAAGTAATTGGAACGCTCATTGTCCCAGTATCGATGGCGAACCTAAGATTTGTAATGAAATGTCAAGTAGTTGAAGGCATGGTCCCAGTTTTGCTTTTGGGCATGGATTTCATAGTCAAATCATGCAGACATGTCAACGTCCAAAGAATTGAAAGGAGCTTCGACATTCAAGTGCTAGGCTCGCCATCAATGGTGAGCTGGTATGAGGAAGTAATCAGAATCGCCGCTAGTATTTATAAAAAGGGGATAAAGTCTGATCAAGGCAAGAAATTAAACATGACATCGCAATAAAGACTACGCGAAATTATTAATGAATTGGATGATTTTACCAATAGAAACTAAATTCACACGAT